AAAAAACCCTTCAAGTTCCATAACTTGTAGACAAGTTATGGAAGACTTTAAAAGCATTAAAAATGTGACTCTTCATTTTTTCATAACTTATGGAATTTTTATGGGTTTTAAAATTCATAAATGTGACTTTTCATTTAACTTGAGGACAAGTTACAAAAACACATATTATGAACAACTTCAAGATTAATTTGGATTGAAAACAACTATCTCATAATTTTTCCTATTAATCTAAACAAACTCATAAACATGAACATTCATAATCAACATTTTTCAAGCATCATATAAACATATATAAAACTTGAAACCTTGATTATTATCCTTTATTTGGATGAGAATAAACATTACCATAGTATCAAAAAACAAATTTTATGAACAAAAACACTTTGCGGTAATGATTCTAATCCAAAACAGGCCAAAAAACTCGAAGATAAGCTGTCAGGGGGTCCAACTCGTCGAGTGCATGAACCAACTCGACGAGTTGGATGAATTTGTTCATGGACTCGTCGAGTCCATCACTGGACTCGTCGAGTCTGCTGTCCCGACAGCAAAAAATTCGATTTTTTTCAGTTTTTTTTTTTCAGCAACTTGCATCAAGTATAATTGAACCCATGGCTCTGATACCACTTCTTAGGATCGCTACAAGCCTAACCATGCCAACATAGAAGAACAGTGAGGTTCTATTTTCTAAAACCAATTGGTGATAGAAGAGATTACTCATTGTCTTATATGCTAGCCCCTCAAACCCAAGTTCCGCTATTGGTCTCCCCGCAACGACTGTTCATCAGATCCAATCCTTTTTCATACCGCCGATACTCTCGGGACACGCTCACCTGACCTGGGCCATAGGAAGACTTTCGATACAAGGCTTCAGGATCAACTTCGTTGGACCGGGAATTATCGGGGATTGTGCCACCTGTACCGACCACATCTTTCGGGTTACGACCGTAACTCTGATACCACTTCTTAGGTTTTGGTATACTACAACATCCTATGGTGCACATACAACCCTAAATACCTTGGATCTATGTTTTCACTAATTATACATGCAAATGGTTTCCAAGGTATTAATCTTACAACTAGCATGCATTTAACATAAAATTATAATATACTAGTTAGCATGACATACCTTTTGATGGAGCTTGAATTCTTGGTGTATTTGGCCTTAAAGAGCTTAGCCCCAATAGTGTGGAAGCCTCAAATGGAATCACAACACACCATGGACAAAGGATGAACTTGAGAGAGAATTCCATGCACACAAAAGACACCATGAACTCTAAAAAGATACAAGTGGCGATTTTGGGCAATGAAGTATCTATTTATATGTGGGATTTCTAGGGTCATGGATATAACCCAAATCCATACCCATGGGTTTTATGATCCATGGTTCATGTGGCCCAACACATATAAATATAACTAATTATCATAATTAGTCCCCATAGATTTAATTAGTCTCTTTCGACCACTAAATTAATTCCAAATTAATTCTTGATCACTACTAATTAAAACATATGATTTCATATTAATATATTATTACTTATAATATATTAATAAACCATAAATAACCTTCTCTCAAAAGTCCATCCTAACAAATTGTCCTGATGATATGCAACCCAAATGGACCATGCTACTCTCGGGTCGAATACATACCAATAATAGTTATGGGCTTAGACACCTAATCCAACATCCCCGTCGCGTGCTTAGCCAGATTGTACCCTCAACGTTAGGGGTTGTACGCCCAACGTACTCGCTGGGTGTTGGCTTTCTATTGACTTTTGCTGACTTTGACTTTTGGTCAAAGTTTAGGGTTTTGGACCTAGGAAGGGGCGAAATGGTCCTTTTTGCCCCTAGAAGGATTAACCATGGACCTCGGATTCGTGAGTGGCTTGGACCTTAATTTTAATTAAGGTTAATTATTTTGTTAACTAGGCAGAGTCTACATCTGGCAGTTCGGGTGCTAGGTTTTCGTGTCATCAGTATCAGGTGAGTCTCCTTACATACTCTTACTTATATGGTAGGATAGCTGTAATTTTATGACCAGCTGGGTCTAGCTGTTGTGTTGTGTTGTGTTGTGTTATGTTATGTTATGTTATATTATATTATGATATTTGGTGTGACTGGGGCTGTTGATAGCCAACCGAGGGTTGCGGATAACCTTGCGAGCATGCTGTTAGCTCACCGGGACTGCTGATAGTCCCAGGGTTGCTGATAATCCATAACTGTTTATTTATGTTGTGTTGTATGTGGTATCTTGGGGAACTCACTAAGATTTGTGCTTACAATTGTTGTTTTGTATGTGGCAGGTACTTCGCAGGACCGCGGGAAGGCGAAGGTCTGATTGTACACTCGCACTGGGAATTTATTACTGGTACATGATCTTTATGTACTCTGATAACAATGACACTTGCGCTTTGAAATGACTTGTAATTGATCTAGTTGTGAAACTATGTTTTTGGAAGTTTTAAAAATCGAAATTTTTTGTCTAAAATTTTAGGTGTTACAAACTAATCAACAATATGTCCGAGATTCCCGGGATCCTCCTTGAACAAGTATTTGCACGTTGTTTGACTTAGTATTCCCGAGTCTTAAGCTTGGTTGAAGTAGTTTTCTGTTGAGAATGAATCTTATGTTGACTAATTCTGCATATGTGAGAAAAAGAAAAATGAATATAGTCGTTATAAATGTTAGGAAGTATTAGTGATGACAATCAGGATCCTGAGATATGTTAAAGGATCCTGAGACTTCAGGGATATTAAGGATCCTGAATATGATTCTGGGATCCTGCCCCTAACAATGGGGCGTGTCGAGTTAGTGGTACGGGCTGCTACAAGTGCGGTCATGGTATTGAAAACTTTGTACCACTACCATACCAAGATTATGCAATTGGTATGGTACTACCAACCACACATCTTGACTACCAAACATATTGGTTACCAACATATTTGGTTTGGTTGGTTTTCCGTGGTACATATTTGTCAGCTCTATGCAAAATGTCATAGTAGGTAATAATATCACTCTCAACAATTTTGAGTTTATGTAAATTTTATAAACAACTAATGTCTTGATACAAATACAAAAATTAGATTATTAAAATAGCAATTGAAATTTTAAATAAAACAATTATTAAGGAGGTCTAAACCAATGTATAAAAAAATATGTATCAAATTTGATAAAATGTTAAGTGAATTCTTAATTCTCCATGTCAGAGTCGTAGAATTTACATAAAATAGGAGTAGCAACAAGGTGGTGCAAGGAGGAATGGTAATTACTAACGTGAATTAATTACTAATGAGAAGACGAACACAAATTTTACTACCAAAAATGAAAATCAAGCTTCTGATGCCCTTCAAAGATTATTAGTTTATTACTCTAGCAACCAAAACTTTGATCCATACAAGTCATATTACCACAATATTAAAATTCTATTATAGAATTATACTTTCAAATTATCTCTTATGATAGAATTATAATTTTATTTTTGAGTGAGATACCTCGTTGTTATAATAGTATTCTATTTCTTTTTTAGGATATTTGCATCTAATTTAGAGCTTCATCTCGAGGCTTAATACACTTTTTCTTCTTCTGCTTCTTCTTCATGGAATTATCTTCTACTTCGAAACTTGGTTGTGTCCATTCTAAGGGTTTCATTGTTACATGAATGGTGAAGTTTGAACTAAAGAGATTTCTGGTATAATATTTCTGATGAACGTAAAAGTGTGTTGCGAAAGACTATTAGCACGAACACATATTGTTTATGGGTGTGGAAGAAAAATTGAAAGTGTTTGGCAATATATATGTGTTAAGTATACGAGTATACATGAAGTGAGTTGTGCTTATCATTACTCTTGATCAATTTATTAATGGGGCTGACCATGTTAATGGACACATTATTGGCCCTTTAAAGCTGCCTACTAAGGAGCATGATACTTATGTAAATGAGGGGTTGATATTGTATGTTGAGCTCCTTCATCGTGTATTTAAAACACATATTACTAAGCTATTATATCCCTTAGTTGAATGACTTTTGATTTTCTCTTAGGCGTTGAAAATAGTTCTTTACAATGTGTAGTGTAGGTTAGGTTGTTGCATCTTCTTCATTGCACTTTGTAGATGTTCAGACACAATAATATGTAGGAAAGTAGATATGAGAATAGGAAATCCATACAACATCTTTGTATCTTACATGTTGTATTTTTAAACCCATTTTAGTTAAAAACTTGTTCAACAATATTAGCTTGGGGTGATTAGACGAAGAAGAGATCACATTCAAAGGAGAGAAGAATGAGAAACACCAACATCAAATAATGTCTAAATTGACATTTTACAACAGCACTAAAGTGTTATGCTCCTCAAGTGATTATCCATAATAAAGATTCAACTAATTTAAATTATATATTTCTATCATAAAATTTAATATATAATGTTTGGTAAAAATATAAATATATTTTTTAGCACGTCTTATGTTTATCTATATTTCGAATTAATTTTGTAGCAATCCAACTTATATTCAATGTATTTTATATTTTGGTCTCTGAAATCTTACATTGTTGGAAAGTATAATTGCATATGCCATCTTTGTGAAATATGTAAATAGATTTGACTTGGCATTCTATATAAAAATATAATATATATTATCTTACGACCTACCCAACATTGTGCAAAATTATTATCAAAAATAAGGGTGGCAATCCATAAGATTAGGATGTTACAAACAGTCACCTAAATAAAGGCTAGCTGAACGTTCACTTAAGTAGGAAAACCAGATATTGGTGCTTGTTGCACATATTTTTGTATGACGGTTGACAACATGATTTATTCTCTAAATAGAGCCAGAAGACCACAATGATGGTGTAGTAGATAACTAGAGTTACTAAATACCATATGGCGTGTGATACGTTTTCTTTAAGCCGTGTGTATCATGCCATGTGTGATACGTTTTCTTTAAGCCGTGTGTATCATGCCATGTAGCAAACGGGCAAAGTTTACGCATACCAGTTTCCTTGTCAGTCTAGAAGCCATTTGTTCTTGTACCAAGCGACAGCAATAACATACAAGAAGATGCCACCGGTGGTACCACCACCAACAGTGAATAAAAATTTACGCATACCAGTTTCCTTGTCAGCAGGGGTGTCACCATTGAAAAGCTCAATGGTAATGTTCATTCCAAAGGCTCCAGCCATGACCACGAGTGCCCCTACTATAAGAGTCGCGGTTGAGAGCATTACACCCATTTGCAGAAGATGGTTCTGCTTGTCATCCAACATGATGTTGATGTAGTCTTCCGTGTCGTCAACATACTCCCTCAGCTATACACGATTGCAAATTTATCATTAAGGAAAATGATGATTGATGTCTGATGATGGGTTGGATATATATATACCGTCGATAATTTATTCAGTGTACCATCAATCTGAACAAAATAGGCCTCCAACAACATTTCAAGTTCCTCAACATCATGGTGTTTGTTGATAACGCTTCGTGCATTGCTAGTTCGGGTCCCACGACTATCTCTGCCTCCAACAAATTGGTCCTGCTCAATATCACCTTCATTGGCTTTCATACCAGCAACTCTGATATCATCATACAGTTACACACATACAACTATCAGAAATGATTGAAACTATAGCATCACAAGCAAGGTGTTGAAAAAGATGCATGTGAACCTCTCATCATCATCATCATCATCTTCCATTTGTGACCGAAGAACTTGCTCCACAGCAGCTTGCTCGCTAACCGAAGCATTGTCGAGTTGCTGCTGCTGCTCCATCTTATCAGTCAGATACATTTCAGCCATATCTTCATCATCATCAAGTAAGTGCTCTAGTTCGTCTCGAACCTAATTCAATCAGTCTCAATCCATCATAAACGAAACCTCTTAAGACCAAAATTCAAAGCGCATACAAACCTTTTGAACACGTCCTGTTATAGCAACCAACCTACTTTTAATCTGGCGAACACGTTCCAAATTGAGAGTATTAATCTTAGTGGTCAACTTATCCAATGCCGGATGCGCTTCTTCATCCAATGTCCTTGCCTACTTCAGGATGATGATAACTAGATAAGAGAAGAAACAAGTTTACCAGTTAAAATCCTCAATAAAACTTTTCACCTCTTTTTCCAAGGAACTGCAGGCTGCCTCTAGGCATGCCTCAAGTGCAATGAACTCAAATTGAAGGAGTTTCAGTCCATCTCTGCTATCAAGAGAATGTATTCTGTCGGCTGTAACCTCTCTGCTGGTTGAGGCCTTTGACTGTGGCTCTCCCAGATCATACAGATTTCTCCACTCCGTATCAAAATAATTTGCCCTTCCCTCCTGTTACAATGCCATTTTAACATCAAATAATTAGGATCAAAGAATATCATGCTAGTTTCTATTTATTTCTTGATGCTTATTAACCAGCTCTACATTTTAACAATCAGAGTAACAGCTGCAAACTTTTTAACTCAATCTTACATTTCTACTACTCAGAATAACAAGTTTACAACTCCTTCATGTAATTTTAACCCAAGTATACTTTTCCTAAACAAATGGACTTGAAGGGAGATGACCATATGCCCTCTTACAGTTTTACCCACAATCACTGCCACCTAATCTTCTCCCAGATATATAGTAATCCTATCCTTGTTGTGCAACCAACCTCAATTCTTCTGCAACCACCCTGTGTGAACTAAAATCATACCCTTCTGTACTTACAGTTTATATAGGAACAGCTTATAGAGGAAATTTTGCAATCAAATTAGGGCAGCATTCTGAAAATATCAAAATATATTCTTGAAAATCATATGGACATCATACAATCTCTAATTCAAACAAATTCAATTCAACCAATACTAATTTTACATATCCCGAAGCCTTAATATCATTTCTTTACAAACTAGTACAAGGATATATAACAGATGAGAAAACGTTTGTGAGTCTTATTATCTAGACAAGGCAGAGATGAATGTAGAAATTTAGAGGAAATATATATATATATATATATATATATATATATATATATATATATATATATATATAAAAACTAAATGACCTGAGATGCAGTTGCGTGATGATGCCGCACGATACAGCGTTGGAGCTCTTCGACGAGAGGAGCAACAGATGGATCTTTGGAATTAAGCAAAAGCACCTCATGTGCCGTAATTATGGCCTTAATGTGCTCCAGATTGATGACGATAGCCCGCTCTCGGCCAAGTACGGTGGAAGGATATGATAAAATAGGGTCGAGGATACGAAGATCGCGCGCAGGTAAGCCCGTTCGCCTCATGACAGTATGCTTACCGGCCTCGACAACTTGGGCCTGACCCATTGAATCAAGAAGGAGCCAGTGCCTCACTCCAGTTGCCTTCTTCCTGAGTGCTACTCCACCAACGTTCGTATGTGAGGCAGTTCGAGCGGGGTCGTCTTCTTCTGGGATGGTATCGACGGCATTGTCTTTCGACAGCGGAGGACGACGGCCCCTCATCGAGGTTTTATTGGCAAAAATGGAAAAGGACAACAGTTCACTTGTTTAAGTTTTTGAAAACTTATTGTTATCATTTTCTTTATAGTTTATTCTTTATTTTATATTCTCGTAAAAGCATTGATTATTTTTTACATTTATTATCAGAAAGTCTTTTATATAATTTTTTAATATTCCGAAATAAGATATTTTTAAGGGTTTTCTATAGTATGTTGGAAACAAGTTAGTATGGTCTTGAGACTATTTTTATTATATTGCCAAAACACATCTCGGATATGGAAAGTTCCCTCGCTAGGTCACATCAAGGTTTGAGGTTCTGAATCTTTTATTAGACGATGGACTCACGACAAACTAGAACCTAAAAGTGAGAGATGTATTTTCATTGGTTACCTACATAAGTCTTTTGGATACTTGTTCTACAGACCTAGTGAGAACGTGGTCTTTGTATCTCGAAGATAATTATTTCGTGAGAGAGAACTCATATTCAAAGAGCACAGTGGGAATGCTATTGATCTGGAAGAAATTCTAGAATTAATCAATGAAAGAACCTTTGAAGACACTAGCTCTCAACCAGAGGATGAGACTCTTGTTGCCCATTGACAGTTGACAACCTCTTCGCTGATCAGGTAGAGTTAACATGCCACCAACGTTCTATGGTTTCCATATAACGTCAGATGTTGATACGCTTATCAGTGATGATACACTGGTAAATTTGGATGAGCCAGATAACTACAAGGAAGCGATAGAGAGCCCTGAGGCTACCAAGTCGAAGAAGGCGATTGATAGTGAGATTCAGTCCATGTACAACAACCAAGTTTGGAATTTGGTTGATCACGTACTAGGTCGAAAGACAGTTGGTTGCAAATGGATCTTCAAGAAGAAGACCGACATGGATGGGAAAGTACACACGTTCAAGATACAACTAGTTGTGAAGGGCTTTACTCAAACCTTCGGGTGTAACGACGTAATTTTCAAAACAATTTTTCATTTTTAAATCATACTTTCAATCACACAATAATCACAAAAACATAATGTATCCACTGTGTCATAACAAAACATGTCCCAGAATCTCAATAACATAAACTCTATAAGTGTGTACGGATCATGCTGGCGCCTTCCCGCGATCCTCGCTAGTACCTGAAACACATAACACAACAACTGTAAGCATAAATGCTTAGTGAGTTCCCCAAAATACCACATACCACACATACGCCTTTCCAGGCCATAACTCTGTAGGATCTTCCGATCCATGAGTCTCAGGGGACTTCCGTCCCGAATCCTGGTAGACCTTCCAGTCCTACCCGTGTCGACCTTCCGGTCCTTAACCTCCTAACCTTCCGGTCCATATCAACCTGACCTTCCGGTCCTTACCATACATAACATACATAGCACATACATATCACATAACCGCATATAGCACATACATCATAGCATACAAGACCTTCCGGTCACACATAGGTACCCTTCCAGGTACAGTATAGTGAGAAGACTCACCTCAATGAAGTCGGATAAACTCTCATTCTCAACGTCCCGACTTAGCATCCTCCTATTATTCAAATAACATCCCTGATCAATATTCTCTCAAAGTCTCATTCCTAAAGATTGGGTAGAAGACCATTCTACCCTCCCCTGAACTCTCTTGAATCAGTCTTGACCATAACCCTAAGGTCAACGAAAGTCAACGGTCAAACTTTGACCCGACTCGTCGAGTGCACAAAGGCGAATCGGCGAGTCCATGCGGGTCCTCTAAATCCTTTCAGTCTCTCTTGGCTCGTCGAGTCATCCTTCCACTCGACGGGTTACACCTGTCACGAATCGCGGGGCAACCCCGACTCGACTCGTCGAGTCCACTTATGGACTCGGCGAGTTGCTTCCATGTTCATACTCAAATGACCTTCTAAGATCAGATCTGCTTCCCTAACTATCAGATCTACCCTTCAAATGTTCAAATGTCACGTAAAGGTGCAACCTTTACGTGCATGCAACCGACATCAAGCCATAAATGGTAAAATAACTCTAAAAATGGCAACCTAGTCCCCAATCTCTCATTTGCTTGCATAAAGCTGAGGGATAGTGACTCTATGGACCTCTCATGGTCCAGATCTGCTGCTATCAACACAAAAGGGGACCTCATACTCACTAGATCTTACTTAAAATGGAGGTAAAAACCCTAAAATCATGAAATCTATCATATCAACATGAAATAGAAAGGATTATACCTCCAGAGATGAACTCTCAAGATGATTAGCCCAGATCCAAGCTCCCTTCACGCTCTAGATGGGTGTTTCCTTCTTCCTTCTAGCAAAACCACACCAAAAGTGATGTATTAGCCTCTTCTTGCTCTCAACTCTCCTACTGCTCTCTCTAGGGTTTCTCTGGGATGAAGTGGCCGCAAATGGAGGCCATAAAGGCCTTTAAATAGGGCTCAGGCCGGGGGATTTAGGGTTTCACTTAACAGCGCGGACTCGTTGAGTCCACGTACCGACTCGTCGAGTCCTTCATTAAATCAGACAAGAAATGTGCGATCCTACTCGGCGAGTCTGAGCGCCTACTCGCCGAGTCCCTCCCTAAAACTCAAGATAAAAACTTAAAATAAGATACATGGGAATCCGGATGTTACAATTCTCCCCCGCTAGAATCAGACTTCGCCCTCGAAGTTTTGCTCCGCAAACAACTCTGGATGCTGCTCCCGCATCTCTAACTCCGGCTCCCAAGTCAGCTCGGACCCTCTCCGATGTTGCCACTGGACCTGTACCAGGGGCACCTCCTTGTTCCTCAGAACCTTGATCTTCCGATCCATAATCGCCACCGGCCTCTCAACATAATTCAGGCTCGTATCCACCTGAATATCTCCCAATGGCACCACCGCCGACTCGTCGGCTATACACTTCCTTAACTGAGACACGTGGAAGGTATCATGAATCTGGCTCAACTCCGCAGGTAGCTCCAACCGATATGCTACCCTGCCCACCCTCGCGGTCACCCTGAACGGACCGATGTATCGGGGACCCAGCTTGGCCCTTCTCCTGAATCGGATCACTCCTTTCCAAGGAGACACTTTCAGGAGTACGAAATCTCCCACCTGGAACTCAAGCTCAGATCGTCGCCTATCCGCATAACTCTTCTGACGACTCTGAGCTGTCAATAACCTCTGTCTAACCTGCTGTACCTGCTCTGTCGTCTGAAGCACTATCTCAGTGCTACCCATCACACGCTGCCCTACCTCTCCCCAGCAAATGGGAGTCCGACACCTCCTCCGATACAACAACTCGAAGGGAGGCATGCCAATACTCGAGTAGTGGCTGTTGTTGTAGGAAAACTCAGCCAACGGCAGATACGTGTCCCAACTTCCTCCGAAGTCAAACACACATGCTTGGAGCATGTCCTCGAGCGTCTGAATCGTCCGCTCACTCTGTCCGTCCGTCTGGGGGTGGTAGGCGGTACTGAAATGCAACCTCGTACCCAACTCCTCGTGGAACTTCTTCCAGAACCTGGAAGTGAAACGTACATCTCGGTGTGACACAATCGAGATCGACACTCCATGTCGCGATACCACCTCCCTCACATACAACTCTGCCAACCTCTCAGCAGAAGAGCTCTCACTGATAGCAAGAAAATACGCGCTCTTCGTCAGCCGGTCAACGATCACCCAAATTTCATCGACACCCCTCGCGGTACTCGGCAATTTGGTGATGAAATCCATGAAAATCTGTTCCCACTTCCATTGGGGAACCTCAAGTGGCTGCAACTTGCCATGCGGACGCTGGTGCTCGGCCTTAACCCTGCGACAGGTCAAGCACCTCTCAACAAACCATGCTACATCCCTCTTCATACAGGGCCACCAATAGTCCTTCTTCAGGTCCAAATACATCTTAGTGGCCCCGGGATGGATCGAGAACCTCGATCGGTGCGCCTCCTCCATCAAAGTGGTACGCGTCCCGCCTGCATACAGCACCCAAATTCGACCCTGAAAGGTCATAAGCCCATGACTATCGGTAACAAACTCAGGCACCTGCCCAATCACCCGCTCTCTCTTGCGGTTCTCCGGTCTCACGGCCTCTGCCTGGGCCTCCCGAATGGTGTCCAACACCGGAATCATCACTGTCAATCGCATACAAGTGTCTCGAATCGGGGCACTCTCCGCCCTACGACTCAGCGCATCAGCTACAACATTAGCTTTGCTCGGGTGGTACAGGATCTCACAATCGTAATCCTTTACCACGTCCAACCATCTCCTCTGGCACATATTCAGGTTGGGCTGATCCATCAGATACTTCAAACTCTTATGGTCCGTGTATATGGTACCCCGAACCCCATACAGATAATGGCGCCAGATCTTGAGGGCGAACACCACTGCCCCCAACTCCATATCGTGGGTGGGATACCTAGTCTCATGAGGCTTCAGCTGCCTCGATGCATACGCTATCACATGCCCCCTCTGCATAAGCACCGCACCCAACCCCGATATCGATGCGTCACAATACACCACAAAGTCCTCCATCCCTTCCGGGAGGGCTAACACAGGGGCTTCGCATAACTTCTGGCAAAGTGTCTCAAACAAGGTCTGCTGCTCCGGACCCCATGAAAAAGCAACACCCTTCCGGGTCAATCTGGTGAGAGGCACGACGATCTTGGAGAAATCTCTGATAAATCTCCTATAGTAGCCGCCCAATCCTAGAAAGCTCCTGATCTCGGTGGGTGATCTTGGCACCTCCCACCTCATAACCGCCTCAATCTTGGCCGGATCGACCAAAATCCCATTCTGGTTGACAAGATGCCCCAAGAACTGGACCTCCCGTAACCAGAACTCACACTTGGAGAATTTGGCGTACAGCCTCTCCGATCTCAAAACCCCGAGGATCTCCCTCAAATGCTCCTCATGCTGCTCTCTAGACCTCGAATACACCAGAATATCGTCGATGAACACTATCATTGAACGATCCAACATCGGTCTGCACACCCTGTTCATGAGATCCATGAACGCTGCTGGTGCATTGGTGAGC